TTTTTTTTTTTTTGAAAAGGCCTGTAGTGCTAGTGATGCTGATTTGAAATCAGGTACCACTAGCACCCAGGGAGAGGCTCCATCTATTGGTGGGGAGCATCACCTGCTGGAAAACGGGTCCAGCGTCCCATATACAGAATACGGAATACAGAATGAATACAGACAGTGACAGAGAAGTTGACTGAGAACCTGCCAGCATTGATTACTCTGGCATCCAGAGGATTGACTGTACAGGTCTTTAATAAGAGGGAAAGAGCCTCTTGGCCCTGTTTCCAGGCGCCAGATGTCTCCTATTGAAGAACTAGTTCTCCCTCCCTCTTGGCTGAAAACACTGAGTAAAACAGACAAGTTATTTTGCTGGGAACGGGGTCCTGCGTCCTATACCATTGCTTATAAAATGACCCGAAAGTCCCAGAGATTGTGAGATATTTGAGACATTGATATAGCCCCAGCATCCGGTGTTTACTGATCCTGAAATTTGGGTGCTATAGAAGGGCTGTGTTGGCGAAAGTTTGCTGTTGAAGATGCAGGGACTGATGATGACCGCTGCTCTCTGAGCTTCTTACTCCTGCCCATACCACTGCAATTCTACTATTGATGTGGCTGCAGGGGGGAACATATCAGGAAAATCCGCTGGATTCCTCATTGGGATTTCCGGATTGATTTGCATCCATTTGTGGAACTGAAGCTTGTTGTTTTTGGAGAACCCGTTGTCATCCCTTTCATCCCCTCTATCCCCGTGGCAAGCGATGTGTGCCAACCTGCCTTCCTTTTCCCCTCCCAGCCAATCTGCACAGAATTTGCTGATTACTCTTGTAATATCTGCCTTCTGTGTTAAATGAGTTATCTTTTCCTGCGCATTATTCCATTGCACCCTTATTTCTGTTTCTATAAAGTGTTTGACTGTCTCTCCTGCTTCCCCTTCTCCCATCCTGACCCATACATCTTCTTGTCCACAGCATCCATACCACGGCTTTCCTGGCGATAGCAAATAGGTTTGTGGCGTAGTTGGAGGCAAGTGGCCTACCCCATTCTCCTAGTAGAATCGATTCCCATTTCCATGGCCATTCCTCCCCAGTTTCGAGTTGAGACCAGATGCGGTCCCACCAGCGCCACATTAGAACCGCCCAAAAGATGTGTTCAATTGTTTCACAAATTTTGCAGCTCGAAAATCCCGCCAGGCGGAACTTACACCATGGGAGGGCCTCCTCTTTCTGTTCCAGATTGGTTCTGTCAATTATCCAGTTGTTGGTGGGAAGGCATCTATAAACTATCTGCCATTGCAGGGCGGCGAATTTGGTCGGTCTTTCCTTTGTTCCTTTGAAGTTTGAACCATTTAATCTCTTTTATCTGATTGTCTCCTAGGTTTAAGTGCCTCTTCCACCTTTCCTTCACCACTGTCCTCGCATCCACTCTGGGTCTAATCATCTTGTAAGCGTTTTTTAGCATCAGGCCAGAAAGTTGTATCTTTTGCCCTGTCTGACTTCTCACCCATGGCCATTCAAGCGGGTCTAGGGCCAAAGTGGATAGGGGGACTTCTGGGCGATAGACTTGCCATTCTGTTCTTCCTCCCTTGTGTGTTTGTTGTCTCACGTATACGGTATAGGTTGACATTCTCATGCCATTGAACTGAGTCTGGGTGGTATCTGAACAGAGTGTCGTCCTCCTTTCTTTCAAACAAGTTTTCTCGCCTCCACGACGCACCCTATTCCAAGGGGTGAGTCCTCCATTGTGACTGCCACCCAGTCCTACTCCTGCAAGCTTTGTCCTTTTCTAGGGATCACCACCCAGGCTAAAGGAATAGAGAAAATTAATTGCTTCAGCCTATTTGCTAAATTGTGGGCATGTCGCAGATGAGGCCTCAATTGTTGGGTGGTTTTCCAATCCTTGGTATCTTTGTCTCATATATCCCCTACTCGGCGGACCCCGTTTCTGACCCACGCGGACCATTGGGGGTCCGAGCTGTTAAAAACTCGGCCTTGTCGATCGGTAATATCTCTATTCCCGAACAAGGGCTGTCGTAGGACTTCTTCCGTTCGTTCTTGGGGAAGGGTTGTCCGGAAGCGGTAGCCTTCTCCAATCCTTGATTAGGTTAACCCAGAATTTATCCTTTGTTAGCCTTACTGCTCCTCTATCCCCTTTCTCTTTCGAGTGTGAGTTTGCTTTGGGGATTGACCAGTAACGGTCCTCAATCCAGGTCAGCGGATCTACCCACGGTGTAGTTTTTGGGGTCAGCCTACGGACCTGTTCCTTGGCCAGATTCTCCCAGCGGAGGGCTTTGCCCCGGAGTAGTCTTTTGAAAAGTTTTGATCCATTGGATTGCCAAGGCTG